TGCCAGCCACATATATATATATACACGTACATATATATACACACATATACCTATACATACATATATGTACATATATATGTATATATATATATGTATATATGTATATACATATATACATATATATATATGTATATATCATATGTGTTCGTGCCACTCTGCGTTGAGGCCCAGGTTGATGCCATTCGAGCTGTCGCCAGGGTAGCGACACATTACTGCGGCTTCGAGATCCGGGATATGCATGTTGTTGGCCCATGCCTTTCTTCCTTATGGATCTACGTATAGCGTTCTGCAGATGGTTGGGGTTGAATGATATTCGATGAGGGCTTACTGGGAATTGATGGGAGTGCACACTTGTCGACCTGGGTGCTGTCACAAGACCCCAGCTTTTGCAACCGGCTCGATTGTGGCAGGAGCTCTGCCGCAACACATCCGTCCGAGTTACCGTCGGGGACGACACAGACACGCAGGCTTGCTTTATGCCTTGAGGATCTTTATAGTGCCAAACCTCAAGAATCATGCATTTACAAGGCCAGTAAAATCCCCAATCGAAACTCAATCGCGAGAATGAAGCCGACCGAAGTCAGGGTATATCGGTATAGCCGTTACTATCACCGGAGCAGACATACAAACGTAGACGTGGACGTGGTTGTGAACCACAGCGTGCAAAGACGGAATCCGAGGTAGCAGGTAGCTCCCCAGGGTCCTTCAGGCAATGCAGGATCATCAACAGACACCTTAAACCCTAAAAACCTGCGAGAGTTCAAGGCCTCTTTTGGTAGTGTCCGTGGCGTGAGATTCGTGAAGTCAAACTCACTTGTGAGCATAGATCCCTAGCCATGCGAGAGGGAAGAAACCCGACCCATCGCCTGGCTATGCCTAGTTGCGAGTGCCGACACCCCGAAACCAGGAACCTTGAAGGTTTTGACTCCTGGGTTTGTCCGATCCAAGCACGTAGACTGAGGCCCATGAGGTTCGTTGTGGAAGGCCAGGTTCTTCCTATGGCGCAAGAATAATCTGGGCACTACTTTGGATTCCGCCTTTGTGCGCTGCTGTTGACAATTTATGCGAGGCCATCCCCGGAGCATGCGCAGAGTCAGGTGCACGTCACAGGCGACTCCGCCGAAGTGAAGCAAGTTATGGAGAGGTTAAGAGCCTTCCTGCAGGAGTGCCTCCACGGAGTGGTTGGTTGTGCGTGTTTTCACCAGCATTGTTTGGAAAACGTCGTATTTTGCTCTTCCTCAAGATCATGCTTTACAGAGCTTTGACAGGTTCGCCTTGCGGGCGTCTTTGAGTGCAAGGGTTTCGCACATGCCTGTACTCCTAGTGGTTCGCCACGGTCTCATTAAGAGGGCGTGTGGGTCAATTAGGTTACACCGAGACTCATCGACCCCTTCGCTAACGAACATTCATTGAACTATCGTACGGATCTTGAACAGCATGGACCGGAAATTGGTGGGCAACTAAAGTCTCTGGATTTGTCTGCGGCAGTCCTCAAGAGGTACTTCACTCTTCAACGTTTTGTGTGGCTGCAGTTTAGGGTGTATGCTTTAGGATATTTTAGGGTCTTGTAGCATACCCGAATGCTCGTCATCTTACGAAGTTCGCAACAGACTACCAAATTAATTCTGTACTTCCCGGCCGTGTCGACAGAACCCTTCACCTTAAACCCTAAGTCCTGTCAGCGGCTCCAGGAGAACAAGAAGGTGACAAAGACGTTTGACCTTCTTCCTGGCTCCACACGCTCCCCGTATGCTTCGGGGTGGGTTTTCGAGGTTCGGGGTCCGGTTTAGGGCTTAGGGTGTTTAGGGTTTAGGGTTTGTTTGGGGGGTTTGAGCGTTTAGGGTTTAGGGTTTGGGGTTGCGAGAGTCCTGGATGCAAAAGGGGTGGAGTTTGGGGCGAAGCACCGAGAAGCGGAGGGTCACCGGACATGTAGATCCTGTTCTTACCGGATCTTTGCCAAGGCGTGACGCCTTGATTTAGAGAAGGTATACCCATACGGTATGATGCTCTAAGGTGTATGGAAAGCGTTGAGGCTCGTGGCCGATCGGATTTCGAAGCTCCCAATCGGCCCAGAAGCTTAGGCTTTGTGCTGGGGAGACTCAAGCGAATCAGGAGCGACAGCGAGGTGGGGTTTAGGGTTAAGGGTTTCGGAGATCGGATTGTTTGTTGAAACGTTGGCCCTCAACTCGTTTGTTGCAGTAATCTCCGGGCATAGGTGTTGAGTAGATAGCTCCAGCAGCGCGTGTATTCAGAATTTAGCCGTCCGTGATCCGGAACAGACGCAGGGACTTGGTTCAACCTTCTTGTTTGCAATTCCTCCTATTCTTACTATCCTTGTCTGTTTGTCCCTTTCATGTACCTCATGCTCCGTATCTGACTACAGCCAGTGTTTGTGTGGCTTGCAAGAGTGTTGCTGCTGCTAGCATCGCATCGAACGCAGCCATACAGAAGACCCTTGCGGTTGGGCAACGACGGGTTATTCAGAATGGATTCAGAAAGGATTCAGGCGTGCAAAGATGTCCTGAGTGCATGTGCATATACCTGTGCTACCTCACGACACCTGCCAGAAGCTGAAGTCCGTGCGTAAATTACCATTCTAAATGTACGACCTGGACACCCGGCTGTACACCTGGCGCGCGCCGACCATAGCCGCACAAGGTGTGAATTCCACATTATCGAAAAATCGAGAGTTATAGAGAGATGTTGAAGAGAATGCTGAGGCTCAAAGTGCGTAAACAGGTTTATAGACTACATTCGAAGGTGCCAGTTGCTCATGCCCCTAAATCCCAAAAACCTCGACTGGAAGTCTTCCAACATCATCCGACCGACGCGGCAGGCGAAGCTGTATGTTCCGAAGGATGGAGACCAAGTCTGCATCCAGGGGAACCAGCGGCAGGCCAGGGGCCTTCAGGGCCTGTCCTTGGGTTGGCCAGAAGTGGATGAATTCGCTTTAAATAACTTACACATGAAGTCTACGCAACCCCATAGCACCGCCATTGAAAGCTAGCATCGGCCAACCCTGGGCCAGGATTAGTTCAGCGGCCAGCAAAGGTGAATGGCCAGGGTACTAAACACTGAGGGGTGGCCTGAGAAGCCTCGATTCTTCTGGAGAGCGTTGCTTTGTCGGATGCTTTTGCTGTATCACTCTCCCTACAAGACTCCAAGTTTAGTCACTCGAAGCCGAGAGCTGTCAGGTAGACTTCGCTGAAGAGCTCCTCCAACAGGTTCTGTTCGTGGAGTTCCTGGGCTTCTGCTTGATTTTTTTGGGAGGTTTGTAAGGCTGAAGGCTTCGGGCTCTTTGGGGGGGGGGGGGGCATTGTAGGTAACATCAACTTCAGCGCCTTAATTGGGCGCAAGGGCGCATCATACCTGGATCATCCCTTCCGCATCTGCGGTGTGGCAAGATCAGGAGGTGAAGCCATGACCACCAATCGCTCACAGATAGCTCACAGAAGCCCTTTGCGTAATACTCCAACTTCTGTTTGCCCATGAACATTACCCAGATACTCTTACAGCCTCCGAGGTACGGCAGCATCATCTTGAAAATCTCCAGCCAACTGGTAGGGGAGATCGTGGGTAAGAATGGCGTGGTCATTCAGTCCATCAAATCAGCTCGGGAGGCCAGTTTGCCAAGCTAGGAGCCTCTTGCGCCTATCTATCTATCTATCTATCTATCTCTATATATATATATACACATACAAATATACATTGCCGAGTGCAAACCGCGGGCTACTTGACCCCACGTCCTCCGCAGGTGGACATCCAGTTCAGCGAGCCGGCGAATGGCGGCTGGGTAACGAGCCAGATTTCGGGGAAGAAAGAGGAGTCCTGCATGATCCTACGAAGCAAGGCTTTTTTCCCCCAACAGGACAACACAACACGCTCGACAATACTTACAAAGATCTATCTTAGCTGCAACCACCAGCACCTACAGTACTGCCTTAATGCAACCCGAACCGTACATCTCCTAAGACTAGTGCCGGACGGCCGGGACTGACAGGCCAATTCCGGATGGTCAGCCCAGGATTGGTTATGCATACTAACCCTAAGCCCTGTATACCTTTGAGCTGGTGACGGTGAGACGGAGGCCCATGATGATGACATGAGTCCTTGAGTATGACCTTGGGGTGTGTACTTTGAAGGGGTGTTTTACCTGAAGTGAGCGAGGCACCATACTGCTGAGCCCTATAGCCCTAAACCCTGCAATGCGGGCTCGTCCTAGTTAGGTGGGAGGCCAAAACTAAGCCCCAAAACCTATCAACAAGGCATCCCACAGCCCCGTGAGGACTGCACCGCCGCCTCTGCTGAAATTATTCAGCGGCTCCAGAACTACGAGCTGGTCTCCTTGCAACCGGTTTGCACTTCACCTCTGTGGCCTCACAACAATTAAAGCTTAACCCTAAACCCTATATAGACTTTAGGGCTTTAGGGGTTTAGTTTTTAGGGTTCAGGATTTATAGGGCTAAGCCATCTGAAGAGATCTAGACTCAAGGCAGATCAGCTCGAGCCTGGTTGGCCTGGTCATCGGCAAAGGTGGTGCCAACAAGGCTTTCAAGTGCGGCCTACAGATTCGCGAAGACACCCAGAGCAACCCCTGGATCATCAGTGGTCCCAGGGATGATGTTGAGGAGTTTCTACGGCGGCTGCAGAAGAAGTTCAGCGTGCCAGTCTTGGGGGGCTTAGACACTTACAGATTCGCTTGCCCGGACTGTGGGGAGGACTTTCCCGAGGAAAGGTGTGTTCTGAAGCACATTCGTCAGCGTGCTTGCAGGGCTTGCAGCTGTGCTGGGGAATGCGGAGCATACTATGCGGACAAAGCCAGCTGCCAGAAGCACGAAGCGTGGTGTCCTTGGGTGAAACGATGCCCGGGCTGCCATGCGGCCTTCCCATCGGAAGCAGAGCTCGCGAAGCATGTCTCCAGAAAAGCCTGCAAAGCAAGATCATGCCGGGGTTGCCGAAAGATTTTCACGGACATTCCAGCAGCGGAGCTTCATCAGCAGAGTTGCGAACAATATGCTGCAACTTTGCTTAAAAACAGTCTTGGCCGGGGTGTGTAGGCGGTTGTATAGTCGGCGCTTCGTTTTGAACCGTAGCCGTAGTTTGGCAGAGTGGAGCCTGGGAGCGCTTCAGGAATGTCAGTGTTTGTGTACTCATAGTCTTGCATCTGTCCAGTGAATCAGGAGAAGATGAGAGATGCGGAGGCCACCATGCTGTGAATCTCTGCGATCTATGGGCTGTTCACGCTTTCAACCCTCCTAGCCTTGCGTTCTTGTGCCATCTGTCCATCTCCAGGTCATTCGCAGCAGTGCCAGAGCGAATAGTAGAGTTGGCAGATTGCAAAACTCAAACCCTAAACCCTAAACCGTCGTCGGCTTCCACTCATAGGGAGCTCCCGTAGGTCTGATCTTCTCGGGAGCAGCATCCAAACGTTATTTCGTTAGGTAGGCCGCTTCGTTGCACAAGGTCCGGCGGCATATCTTGCAGCTGAAGGACTTTTCAGCTTTATTATGATTCGTGACATATGTAGATTACTACTTTCTTGCATTGGTTTCAGACGAGGTTGTTGGACAGCTAACAGTATCAGTAGCAGTGATGACGTGTGTGCAACCTGTCCCGGGCCCCTTGCAAGTGCCGCCAAGATAGTTCCACCACTCGTCAAGTCCGCGTTAAAGTTTTAATTGTTTTTAAATATGATTGCTCCAAAGCCTATCCTCGAGCTCGCGAAATTTCAATTCCTAAAAACTTTACCCTGAACCCTAAACCCTACAGGCTTGACGGGTTCGGGTTTATCGGGGTCCTGCATGCAGGAGACTTTGTGCAGCACCTGCCGTTTCGGCGAGCAGAAAGGTTCCAGCTGCTCCACGTGCAAGGCTTGACATGCTCAGGGCTTGAAATTAGCAGATGTTCAGCCCTCCGTGTACACAGATTCATGTACAGATGAGCGCATATGGATACATACACATACATAGTTATGTGATGTTATGTGCATGCATATATATATATACACATACACACGAACATCTATTCATCTATCTATCTATTTATCTATCTATCTATCTATCTACCTATCTATCTGCACCCACATACATACCCAAACAAATCTATTCAGGCAGGTAGGTTTCTATACATATGTATGCACATCACTGGTTGCATGTTCGGGCTGTTCAGCATTGAAAACTTTCGATGTTCATTTCGGGAGGCCGTGTTGTGGGGAGCCGAAGAAGTTAGGCTCTTACGGAGCGCCCTCTGCCTCTTTAGAGGCCCTTCTGCGCCGAGCCCAGCTGAAGTGGCATCCTGCGGCCTGCCAGCCTTTACTCCCACGAAAGTGGGTGTGTCCAGGAAGTTGAAGCCGTCGGACTGCCAGACTTTCCAACTTGGCACGACCATACTGAAGCTGTTTAAGTGATGTTGGCAGTGTTGGTGAGAAAGCAGATAATGTTTCAGTGATGGTAGCGAGGGTTGCGATGATGGTTGTCGTTCGCGTCAGTACCGAGCCGATGATTGAACGAGACATGGCGCCGGGTAGCTTCGACCACCAAGCCTTGATAAGGACAAAAATCCGGATAACGAAATCATAGCGACCATCGTGTTTCGTTTCGTCCAAGTGCCTTGGTCGCAGTAAGCAGGTTGTGGCACTCTGCGCTGCGTACTGCCTTTTGTCATCTTTTGTCCTTCAAGGGCAACAATTTCCACTTGCAAAGTTTATCGTATCTTCTCGCAAGTGCTTGCTGTACAAAGGGGTTCGACAGCATGCCAACGTCCCTTTTCTATTCTAGAAGCTGGCGATACCTGACCGTGAGACAGACACACCCAAACCTTTCTTCAAGGACACACAAGCAAGCATCATTGGTTGGCAGAGCCGGACCAGAGGCAGTTTGGGATGGTAGCCCACAGTGGCTTCCGGCAACTGACACCTCGGACGAGACCTTCCAGGCAGCATCCAAGGACCACCGGATCACATAGCTTCAGTTACATGCACAGTATACCGCGGTCACAAGCCCTGCAGTTCTCGGTGGAAGAAACGAAGCTTTTGAGTGACCGCCGCGTGGGGTTCGAGCCCCCAACTTGTCTTGTTGTTGCAGAGCAGGATGCAAGGAAGCCAGCAAGCAGCGAGGAGCCGGAGCAGGTTCGTGATTTCTCATTTGTCGCAGAAGCTTCTAGGTCTAGGTCGAACAGGCCACAGGCTTTGACAGACGAATTACGGGGCTTCATATGGTCGCTACAGTTACCAAGGGATTGGGCATGTCCGCTGCATCCCCCCAGCACAGTTGGCGAATGGACGGTGAAACTGATGCGCCACAGCCCGGAATCTCTGAACCTTTTGTCGCAGCTTGTGGACCTCGCAACGGGGATGCGGCATTGCAATGAGAAATGCCGAGAATGAAAATGCGGGTGCTCGTGTCGCAGTTACAGAAGCATGAGGGCAAACTTGCTCATGCGAGCACACGGTTAATAATTACCTATACTATTCTTGGGATTCCTTATTCTAACTATAGTATAATATCCCCTAAAACCCTATTCTAATTAAGGAGTCGGCAAGACAACTAGGAT